CCTGAGAACAGCCAGGTGTGAACAAAAAAAAAAAAAAAGAAGAAAAAATTATTTTTAATGTAAAAGGTGATACTGGGGACATGACACAACAGGTAGGGCGCTTGTTTTTCACGCAGCCTGGGTTTGATCCCCGGCATCCCATGAGGTCCCCAGAGCCCTGCCAGGAGTGATCCCTGAGTACAGAGGCAGGAGTAAGCACTGAGCACCACCAGGCAAAAAGTAAAAGCCAAAATAAATGAGAAGAAAGAAAAAAGAGAGAAACCTAATTTGTTGCCAGCAAAGGCTTCTCAAGCCAACAGTCTCTAAGGTCTTAATAAAACCTGAGTCTTGGGGCTGGAGTGATAGCACAGCAGGTAGGGTGTTTTGCCTTGCACGCCGCCAACCCGGGTTCGATTCCCAGCATCCCATGTGGTCCCCTGAGCACCGCCAGGAGTAACCCCTGAGCATCTCCGGGTGTGACCCCTCCCCCAAAAAAACCTGAGTCTTAACAACGGCCTCCTTCCACGCAAGCCTGCAAAGGTTCTCAGGGTAGCCTCTGTGTTGCTCCCGGGCCCCTCTCCCCACCACTGTGACTCTCTGCGGTCACTCTGGCGCTGGACCCTTCGCGGTGCCTCCGCTCTGGCTGTTCCTTCCACAGACACGAACACGCCACATACCCACTCGCTCACTCCTTCTCCTGCTGCAACCTCCATGCCTCAGCCCTCTGGGAACCCCCCAGCCCCAGGGCCAGAGACCCTGAACCCCTTTCCCCGACCCCCACTTTTCCTCCCATCCACAGCATGTGTTCTATAACTCAGCACATGTGCATGGAAGGCCACCCCCATCTTAGTCTCCTGCAGCTACAGAGGAATCAGAGGCTCGACCTCACAGGAGCTGAGTGGGCCTTGGAGAAAGCAACGAAGACAGGGGTCCCGTGGCCCCTGCTCCTGGCCCTCACAGGGGTCGGGTGCAGGAGGGAAAGACCCCTCAAGCTTTAGGCTTCAGAGCAAGGAGGTGCCGAGTTCGGTGAAGGGGTTGAGAGGGCGGGAAAGGGGCTGGAGGGGAAGAGGGCCGGGAGGGGATACAGCAGGGCAGTGGCTCAGGAGTGAAAGGCTGGACTGAGGATGGGTGGAGGCAGTTGAGAGCATGGAGCAGATGAAAAGGAAAGGGGTGGGGGTGGGGACTGGCCCACAGTTTAGGCAGAGAAGGAGTGATTGACTAGGCTGTAGAGTGGGGCTCTCACCAGTGGCAGAACCCCATAACCGTAACCGTGAGGGGGAGAGGACTCCCCGCTCTTCTCACACCAGGGTCAGGAGGGTTCAGGAAAGTGCGAGGGTGGCAAGGTCATCACATTTGGTCTTATCCTCTTACCCAGCATCCCTTAAAAGTGTCAGCAGCACAAAGAGGTAGGGCGGCCCTCGTCCTGACGACATCCCACGGAGAGCAGTTCCCCTCCGTGCAGCAGAATCTGCGTGGGGAGTCTGCAAAACCCTCTCTCTGCCTGGAGTCTGAAACACATGGCCCAGAGCAACACCCCCAGGGTCCTCGGGCCGCCAAAGCAGGACAGATCACTCAGCTTCCCGCCGGACCACCTCAGCCAGAGTGAGCAGGATGAAAGGAAGCTTCCTGCCCCGCCTTCTGACTCACCCCTGCAGCTCTCCAGCTTCTCTCTGCAGACACTCGCCAGAGTTACCGGAACGTCTGTGCATGCATGCATGCATGTAAGATGCAAGGACAGCGTGACTCCCAGGCAGAGGGAAAAAATTACCCTGCTTAGCCTCCGAGGACCAGTGGCTTAGTGTTAATCACACCCCTGGGGATGATGTCACTTTGATGCTCCCCACAGCTGTGCTGAGACTTATTAAATAGTCAGTCATTAATAACGGTCAATTATTAACGCAAGCCCCTCCCTCTCACGGTGCTGGCCCCTGCAGAGGAAACAGACAGTCACTCCACTGGGCCTGACCTCCTCCTGCCCACCGACAAGCCTTCGGAGGTACAGGACATCGTTCTCTCAGGTACCTTTTAGGAAAACTTATTAGTATTAGTAAATTGAATTACCTGTTAATAGAGTCAGGTAAAAGAGCCCTGCTTCTTTTTTTGTTTATCTGATTTTTTGTTTTGTTTGAGGACCACACCTGGTGTTACCTGGGGCTTACTCCTGGCTCTGTGCTCAGGGATCACTCCTGGTAAGGTTTGGAGAACCCACTGGGGTGCCAGGGATAGACTCCTATCTGCTGTGCGCCAGGCAAGCACCCTGCCTGCTATACTATCTCTCCGGCACCAATAACCCAAGAGTAAATGAGTAAACTATTAAGCAAAGGTGGTGAGTCTTCATGGGACTCACCTAGAAGTTCCTGAGAGCTGTGACTTTCTCTCTCTCTCTCTCTCTCTCTCTGGGAGGGCCACACCCAGCTGCACCCAGCAGTGCTCAGGGCTCATTCCTGACTCTGCACTCAGGGATCACGCCTGGCAAGGGGTGCCAGGGATCCAACCTAGGCCATCTTGTGCAAGGTGAGCACATACTCGCTGTACTATCTCTCCGGCTGCTGAAAACTGTGATTTTAAGCAACATGATGAATAATGAAACCATGTCCTCAAGTAACGTCCTCTGCTTTAACACTGGTTAGGATCTTTCTCTCATCAAAGGATGCTGAACAAAATGAAGCTTGTTGGGGGTCTGCTGGAATTTAAATAGCCTCCAGGATGTCCCTGTTGTGTCCACCTCTGGAAATCCATATCCTTGACCTACACTTGTCCCAACCGTGTTCTATTAGGTCAACAGACTCTGGTGGAGGGATGTCAGACCCAAGATCAGATTATACACACCCAGGGACTCGTCTCTGAAGGACCCCAGCAGCCATGCCAAGTATGTTTCAGAGGAGAACTGAGGCCCATCAATTGCCCAAGTGAGCCCAGAGGCTGAGCCTCCAGCATCCAACCTTCCATGCCTGCACCCTGCAGTCAATAGCTTGGCTGCGAGATGGCAAAAAAGTTGGAGCCACCCAGGGAGGCTGCTTCCAGGTTTGGGACCCAATGTCACTCTTTCCAGGTGCTTAGGTCTGCAGGGATCTGTCCCATAGCAATAGTTCCCTTGTTCACTATCCCACGGAGAGCTGAGAAGGAATCAGGTTCAATCTCAGCTCCTTTCCTAAAAGAGTCAATCTGTCTGTCCCTGGGAAGGGGTTTTTCTTTTCTTTTTTTTTTAAACGTTAGGTCTACACCTGGCTGTGCTCTGGACTTACTCCTAACTCTGTGCTCAGGGATCACTCCGGAAAGTGCTCTGGGGAGCACATGCAATGCTGGGGATCCCACAGACGTCAGCAGCATGCAAAGCAAGGGCCTCCTATACTGTCCTTCCAGTCCAGTCTCCATGACAGGAACAAATAATAAATTCGGTAACTCAACCATTACTTATTGAATGATATATATGGCCAAGATCTTTCCAAGTGACATAAACCCTTAACTAAAATAACTGTTGCATTGGGAAGAGGGTTGAATTGCCTGGGGGACATGCAAGCCAGGGGCCTGGTTTGATCCCTGACACTGTGAGGCCCGCCAGACCCCCCCCCCCACACACACACAGTACCACCGGGAGTAGCCCCCAAACATCCAGCAAAAAAAATGAAAAGCTGAAATTCAATATGAAAATAACTGCAAAGGACCCACACACAGGCGCCAAAGATAGTACAGTGGGTAAGGCGCTTGTCTTGCAGGGGTTCAATCCCCGGCATCCCATATGGTGCCCCCAACCCTGCCAGGAGTCATCCCTCAAGGCTGAGCTAGGAGTAAGCCCTGAGAACAGCTGGCTAGGTCCCGTCTCCTCCCCCCCCCCCCACCCCTCCAAAAAAAAAAGAAGCCAAAGAACGAGCCCACATACAGGAACTTCGAAGGTTTCACTGACATAAAAATCTTCTTGCTCCTAATCCTGTAACCTCCCCCCCCCACTTCCCATTCTGCATTCTCAGCCACCACCGCACACCCCACCCCAAGTCCCCTGCCACAAAGGCACTCACCTGCTCTTCTGAGTGCCCCCACTACCTGTTCATTCTCACTGTGCCCTTCCACCTACGGGGAAAGAAACTCAGGTGCCCCTTCTCCCCCAGTTCCAATCTAGGAGGCATTCAACCTCCATCAATCGCGTGAGGAGGGGGGGAAAATCCACTCCCTCTTTTCGAGTGCATGCAGCGATGCTGACGCCTGCAGCGAGGGACCCGGGGGTGCAAGGGCTACGATTCCCACCCCCCCAGCCCCACTCCCGCCCGGAGCAGCCCCGGGACTCTGCCCTCCCCGGAGCAACAGCAGGACCACAGCGCTGCGCCCAGTGACCACCCGAGCGCCTCCCGAGTGCCTCCCTCTGCACAAAGAAGGTCAAAGGGCGAGCTCCCTTTCCATCAACCACAGAACCAGCCTCGGCCGCACCTCCGAGGCGCGTGGGAGGCCGGCAGAGGTGAGTGGGGCCCCACGCTGCAAAAACCACAGCGAGGGCTCGGCTCCAGCAGCCGCGGCGGGCTGGGGCCGGAGTCAGGTGGCGCTGCCCGGGCACCCACGAGGACCACCCCACCCCACCGCAGGACAGATTGGAGGAGGGCGGAGCGGGGGATCGAGGTGGGGGGTGGGGGGACTCTGGCTGCAGGACCAACGCCGCCCCCGCTCCGGCCGAGACGCGCGAACTCTCGCCTCCCTGCGGTCCCAGGAGCCTGGAGGAGCCACAAGTGACCGGCAGCTCCGCCCGCCGGGATGCGCAGGAGGGCGCGCGCCCCCGGCCCCCGGACGGCACCTCGGAGCCCCGTGCGCCAGTCTCCGGCCCCGGCGCGCTCCGCCAGCTGTCACCGGCGCGGGGGACAGTCGCTGCCCTGCAGGCGCGGCCCCTCGGCCCTGGATCCCTCCCCCGGCCCCCGCGGCAGCCACCAGCCCCGGGGGCGCGGGGAGGGCGGCAGCGTGGGCGCGGCCGGTGCCCGGTGCCCTGGGGACCAGAGCGGGGCCCCCGCTCCCCGCGGCCCGCGCCCGCCGGCGCCCACCTTGTCGCCGAAGCTGCGGGTCGTCGGCAGGTCCGGGCTGGGGGTGCCGTCGCCGCCCACGGCCTCCTCGCTGCTGGAGCCGGCCAGCGGGTGCGGCAGGTCGCGCAGGGAGTGCGGCCCCGTGGACGCCAGGGCCTTGGGGGGCCCGGCCGACATGGCGCGCGCGGCTGGGGACTCCCGCGCGGCCGCCGCTTCCTCCGCGCCGGGCGCGGGGCTCCCCAGGGCGCCGGGGCCGAGGCGCCGCCGCCGCCGCCGCTCCCAGGCCCGGCCGCGCGCGTCCACCGCCGCCCGCCGCTCGGGGCCTGCTCCGCGCGCCCGCGCCCGGGTCCGCTCGCCCCGCCGGGGAGGAGCGCCGGGAGGAGGGAGCGCGCGCCGGGCTCCGCCCTCGCCCGCCGCCGCAGGAAGCGCGCCCCGGGCCCGCCCGGCCCCCGGGGGAGCCGCGCCGCCGCCCACCCACCCCCCGCCCACGCGTGGGGGAGGACCCTGCTCCCTCCCGCCCGCCCGCGCGCGCCCGGGCGCCCCCGAGCAACCCTCTCCCCGCCCCCTACCCCCGGGCGGTGGGGGGGGGGGGTGTTGGAGGAGGGACGGGCACGCGGGGTCCCCGGGGTCTCCTGCTTCGAGAATGACTCGCAGTGGTCGAGTCATGACGTCGGCTATTTGGGAGGGGGGAAAATGCACGAAAGGCCTCGCGGTTCCAAGGAGATTGGTTAAAAAGGCGATGCCAGGGAGATGGCACGGCGGGCAAGGCGTTGGCTCTGCACGGGACCCGCCGGGGTTCGAACTGCTGCACCGCCCGCGGTCCCCTGAGCACGGCCAGGAGTGTTTCCTGAGCCCGTTGTGGCCCCCCCACAAGAAGTGCTGCGGAGTATTGGCGCAGGGGCCGAGGAGGCCATGGGGGTGTGGGTGGGGTGTCCGTGCCCAAGGGATCCCCCATGCCATCTTACTTCCGCAGTGAAGCAGGGATTGGGTAAACCCACGCAGAGGGGCTGTGCCCCCCCCCCCCCCCCCGGACTAGGGGTGCTGCATGTGATAAGGGTGCAGAAACCCACACCCTGACCGAGCTACCTTTCTTGAGGTTCCAGCTCTTACTCTCTCTGCTTCCTCTCTGGGCCTTTGTGGCTGAGGTGAAGTGGAAAGAGGGGTTTGGTGTCACCTCGTTTCCCCCTGATGTGTCTTGCAGTGTTCTTAGGGACGGCTTCCTCGAGGCCACCTGTCCACGCAGGCACAGGTGGGTACTAGAGGAGTCGTGGGGAGGATAACCCCCCGAGACGGCCCGTTTCCTCGTGGCTGTTGCCCTACTGCCCCGCTGGGGCCCGTTTCACACCTGGCATGGCTGGAATGCAGCAAGGCCCCTGCCTTGGTGTAGAATCAGTGATGCTTTCCCCAGGGAAGAATGCAGGAGGTGCCGCTCACCCGCACACCACAAAGTGAGCTGGAAAGACCACCCCTTGCTTCCTCTGCTGTCAGTCATTAGACCTTGGTCCCAAAACTTTTCTCTTCTCCAGAAGTCTTCCTTGGTTGGGACAAATGAGATTCTGAGGAGTCTGGGGGAAATTTTTTTTTTCATTTTTATTCATCCCTGGGTGGGGCTGGTGGTGGTTTCTCGGCGACCAGGGGCCTGCCACCCTTGGTTTCAGTACTTGCACATGTGCACACTTGGCTGCCCTGATCCCACACTTTAGTGGTGGCTTGTGGCCCCTTGCATGGATCCCCAAGGGCAGTATGTGCTCAGAGCATGTGGGCTAGTGTGCGGGCTGGGACTCATGGACTCATGCTTACAAGGCAGGCACTGCACCACAGAACCACCTTGTGGGTTAGGGAACAATTTTAAGTTTCTTTTTTAGGAAGTGGGGTGGGACTTCCCAAGCAGTACTCAGAAGACCTGTGGGGGAGGGGTCCCTCCCAGCAATTCTCAGGTTCCCAGGCTGGCAGTTCAGGGCACCACCTGGGGATGCTGGCTGCCCTGAGGTCCCTGGAATTTCCCGGACCAGTGCTTGGGGACCAATAGGGCGTCACCTGGCAATGTTGGGTGGACACCATGTACTGCTGGGGATTCAAATAGCATCAAACTCACCCAAAGCCTTAACTCCTGTGCGCTCTCTCTCTCTCTCTCTCTCTCTCTCTCTCTCTCTCTCTCTCTCTCTCTCTCTCTCCCCCTCCCTCCCTTTCTCTCCCACAACTCCCTGGGGAACAATGTTTATTTTTTTTTTTTTTGGCTTTTTGGGTCACACATGGTGATGCTCAGGGGTTACTTCCAGCTCAGTACTCGGGAATCTCACCTGGTAGTGCTCACGGAATCTATATGGGATCTCAAGTCAGCCATATGCTAGGTGTGTGCCCTTCCTGCTGTACTATCGCTCCAGCCCTACCTGGGGAATAATTTTAAATACAAGAATGCCAATGTCTCTCAGACTTTGTGACCATGAATACTTTCATTTGTAGTGGAGGCTTAGCACAGACACAATTCTGTGTCCTCTGATTACCATTAAAATCAATAAAATAGCATGACTCTAGGGGTTCGCTGGAAAGATAGTACAGTGGGGGGGGTGCTTGCCTTGCATGTGGCTGACCCAGGTTCAATCCTCAGCATCCCATATGGTCCACTGTGGAGTGATCCTGAGAGCAGAGCCAGGAGTTACCCCTGACCATCGCCAGGTGAGGCTGAAAAAACAAACAAAAAGCATGACTCTCACTAGAACTGAGTATCCTCTAGGTGTGTAACATCGAACTTAGTTTTTGAGTGCTGGGGTGACCATGAGCAAATATCTAACCTAATGAGCCTGTTTCCCAATCTGAAGAAGGTTGTGGAATGGGGAACAGGTAATAATAATAATACTTACCTTATGTATCAGTAACGAGAATCTAGAACATTTGTTAGTCCCCTTCCTTTTCCTTTCTATCAGATTTTCTGTTCTTTTTTGTTGTGTTGTGTTTGGGGGCCACACCCCGCAGTGCTCAGGGTTTACTCCTGGCTCCGAGTTCAGCTCTGAGCACAGGGGTCACTCTTGGCAAGGCGTGGGGGACCATACTGAACCTGGATCTGAATCAGCCACCTGCAGGGTAAGCGCCTGCCCTGCTGTGCTATATCTCTGCCCCCTCTGCTGTTCTTCTACAGTGACGCTCAGAGAGGTTTTTATGTGTGTGTGTTTCTGGACTTCTCCAGCACTTCTGGGGGTCACCAGTGTTATACCAGAAGTGCCAGGACGCCTAGGATTGAACCCAGAACTTAGTGCATGTAAAGCACATGCTCCAGCCCTTTGCGCTGTCTTCCTGGGCCAACCCTAGAGATTTGATCAGGTGGTGCTGGAAATCGAACCTGGGCTTCCTCTATGCAAAGCATGTGCTCTCACTCAGCCCGTTAAGCTCTGTGCTTGGTTCAGATCAGAGTATCGTTTTTCCCTGTGCTTACAAAACAAAGACAAAACCCCAGAGTTCCAAAAAGCCATAGGAAATTGTTTCTTCCTTTTCTAATTTCCTGGTTGGCCAATGGCATCTGGCCATAATGATCATATGCGTAGCCATGAGAACTGAAGAAAGTGTGCCTCTGTGGAGACATTCTGGCATAAAGTTCCCACCGTTTGTGCTGGAGAACAGCCCAGTGGACCGGAGCGCGGGCCTTGCACGCAGGAGGCCAGAGTTCAATTCCCAGCACCGTATCGGACCCCAGGAGCCACCCACAAGCCCAAAGCCAAGAGTAACCCTGAGCACCACCGGGTATTCGCCACACCCCCGCCCACTACTCGCCCCCCAAGAAAAAGCCCAAAATAAAGTTTCCACTATTAAATTTAGCCTGGGACTATCTTTTCTCTACTCTCCATTTCCTGTTGTATTTTAGTATTCTTTGTGGTGGGAAATTGTCACTGAAATAATGTTAAGTGTTCTCAGAGTATGTGATTATGCTGAACAGTTTTAGAACAGCACAGTGGTGAGCTGGAACAGACGGCCGGAATGTGCTGGAATATGGGAGGAAGCTGGGGTTTGTGGGGTGGGGCTCAGAAAAGGAACAGGTGGATGCGCACGTGACTGTGAAGGAGATGCTCGTGGCACCCAGGAACATGAATTGTTCCCATTTCAGCAGAACCCAGGAAACACTCATGGGGCCTAATCATACGAAATATATTTATATATGTGGTGTATTCGATATGCCAAACACAGTAACAACAAAGTCTCACGATGGAGATGTAACTGGGCCCGCTCGAGAAAATCGATGAACAACAGGAGGACAGTGACAGATATATTCCCTATGAATATATATATTCATATATATGTATATATACTTGCCGGGCTCTCCAAGAGGCGCATATATATATATATTTTTTTCTCCTCAATGATTTTTTCCTGCCTGCACGGCAGAGTCTGGCAAGCTACCCATAGCGTATTCAATATGCCAAAAATAGTAACAATAACGGGTCTCATTCCCCGGACCCTGAAAGAGCCTCCAATACGGCAGCATTGGGAAAGACGAGTAAGGAGAGGTTGCTAAAATCTCAGGGCTGGAACAACTGGAGATGTTACTGGCACCCGCTTGAGTAAGTCAATGAATAACAGGATGACAGTGACAGTGATGTATATATAAACATATATGTAAATGTGTATATAGTATATAGTATACACATTTATATGTGTATACTATAAATTTATATGTGTATACATTTAAATGTGTATATAGTATACACATTTACATATATGTTTATATATACATCACTGTCACTGTCATCCTGTTATTCATTGACTTACTCAAGCGGGTGCCAGTAACATCTCCAATTGTTCCAGCCCTGAGATTTTAGCAACCTCTCCTTACTCGTCTTTCCCAATGCTGCCGTATATATACACATATGTATATGTGTATATATACACATATGTATATATACATATATGTGTATATAATATACACATATACATATATGTATGTGTGTGTGTGTGAGAGTGGAGCGATAGCACAGCAGTAGGGCATTTGCCTTGCGCGCAGCCAGCCCGGTCAAGCCGGGTTCGATTCCTCCGCCCCTCTTGGAAAGCCCGGCAAGCTACCGAGAGTATCTCGCCCGCACGGCAAAGCCTGGCAAGCTCCCCGTGATGTATTCGACATGCCATACACGATAACAACAAGTCTCAAAAATGGAGATGTTACTGGGCCCGCTCGAGCAAATCGATGAACAACGGGAGGACAGTGTTTTGTTTGTGTATATAATATACAGATATATACATATGTGTGCATATACATACGTGTGTGTGTATATAATATGCATACATATACATATATATTGCTGATGG